TGAAATAATGGAACAATTAAACTTGAAGCTTACTGAAAGAAGCTCAACAACTCAATATAATGTTTGATCTTTACTTTTAACAGCTTGTTAATGATCTTACCTAGAAACAACATATAAATTCAAATTTGGTTCAAAAGCTTCTTCAGACAGAATAATTTGTATTTGATTGAAATCATGAACCGATTTTAGACCACCATTAAAAACCTGGGAGCACTGGACGACCGTTTTGTCCCATCATGAGACTCCTTAGCAGTGCACATCCACGATCGCGCCTGCGGGGTTCGAACCCGAGGCCTGTAAAGAACATGATTGTAGGTGGAAAAAGTATGAAAAAGGGAATAAATATTTTACGATTTAACTATAAACTCGATAACAGTTAAAATTTCGTCGTAAAAGAATTAAAAACAAGTGGGTATTGTTAATAAAGCATAAATTATTTGCCTGAATGAGTCGTTCTTCTAGTTTTATTGTGTTATTATTTATTTATTTATTTATTTGAACACATAAATATTGGTACGAGAGAGCGCCAATATATATGCGCCACACAAAACAATGAGAGTTCGAAGAGAAAAGAAAAGGTAAGGAGCGTAAAAAAAGGAGAACAATAACGAAGAGATTGGTGTAAGGTAGTGTGGTAGTAATGAGGGAACGGAAAGGTACAATCGGAAGAAATCTTTCAGGTAAGGGAGACACAACCACTTTTTATGAAGAAAGAAAAAGAAGGTTACAGCAGGATCGCCACTGGCTTCTATTCTGAGCCATATCTGATAACGTCTTTAGCCACTGTGTAGTACTATCTCTCGGAACCCAACCAGGGAGTCGTGAAGGACCAACAGAAGCCAGTCCTTTGCAGCTTTCTTTCATGCCATGACACCATGTCATGCACTGATCACCTCTCCGCTTCTTCCAACCAGTCCCAGAGTCGGCAAATAATGCACGACGTGGAATTCTCTGGGACGACTGTGTATGGCTGTGTATCACCTACAGTCCCTGCAAAACATAGTAGAACGTGTACATTTGCTTTCAACACTATTCACATGTTTCCAAAATTGTTTTCTACAGCCAAAAGGAAATTAATTAGTTTTTAGTATTTATTAATTAACTTACAGAAAAATATTAACATTTATAAAATATAAGATATTATTTCATTAACACACTGAATTGAAAATCAACATATGTTTTTCCAAACCATAAGTATCTTCGATACTTTATATAGTAGATTACCAAGTCGAAAGTTATGGAAACTGACTTTCCGATACAGATTTAATTAGTCAGGTCCTTTTCTACCTACCGACCACATAATATCATTACTGCTTATGTAGTGATCATGGACAATAATTAATGCATAATAAACTAAACTCTGTAATTATTGAGAGGTTGAAATAATCAGCTTAAAATGGTATTCAATGAGTGAAGAATATAGATACTACATAGCAGTCTGATTCAGAGTATACTGAGTTATTTGGAAATTCAAAACACTGTTAAAATTTAAATGTTTAAATCAATAAACCATAGATTTCAGGTACATACAATCACAGAATCATTCAGTTAGAATGTTGCCCCTACTTTAACGAAGTCGATAAAATGTATCATCATAGCATAGAGGGGTTTTAAGGCTTATCCTTAATTAACTTTATTCATGTTTCTCCCTTTACATTAATCTTATGATATTTATAATCCAGTAGTTAAAACAATTTGTCAGTCATATTAATTAAATTTTTGAAGTGTGTAATTAAAAAGTGGATAATTCTGTAAAACTCACGTTTAATTTTAGAAATTAGAGCAGAAACTTTTTAGCTTTGAAGTTAACTTCATAAGGGTTTATTGTTTATGAATTATGCTGAGGATTTATATCATAGTAATGAATTCAGTTTAGCATCATACGGTGTACCTGTCTTCATTTGATCAGTTCTTTAAATAAATTTATGAATAAACAATACTGTACTTCTTTTAGTTGTAGGTAATATTAGTCAGAAACCTTAGAATTAGATTTCATACTTTCTAGTACTCATCAGTAAAGTAGTGTGAATTCCAAGAAAAGTTTGTTAACTCAATGATTCAATTACTTCCGACTTCACATTACATTATAAAGCCTACCTATAAACCAGCTTTATATATATCTTTAATGAAAATGAAACAAGTTAATTGATAGCTAAGCTGAACGTAATATTATCTTGCCTAGCCCTTGGTTCCAGTAGAAACAGCTTTATGAATGTATATGTAAAGGAATTTGATATTGATAATGTTGTAAACTAGTAAAATTGCAATAACTTTCTACACTAAACCAATCGAAATGCGTCGCTTTTGTCTGAAATAGTAGAGAACATGAACTTGACAAACTGATCAGGAATACTATTTGAATCTGGTTTCGTCATGAACTGACATCGGCTGGAAGACTGCTGTAAACTATGATATGTGGGGCAGCTGCTTCAACCTAGCTCAGGACCATGCACTGATTTAAAAATGTCATACTCACTGAAAAATGCAGATTAAAATTTCAATAGGATTATACTAGTGTATTTCAACAGAGCTTCAGGCTGAAACAAAGCTACTGTCCGATGTGACGTTTTCTTTTATTACTATCCAGCTATAACTAGTTCATGATGAAAACTATTTATTTCAATGACAGTAACGGTCCATACCATTGTGACTAATACTAAATTTTCACAAAAGATTCCGTAAAAATTTAACAAACTAAGTATGATATAAATAATGAAAAAAGATTTAAATATAAGCATGTGTAATTCATGTTTACCACTTTCATTCAACTTAATAATTAAATGTTTATCTTTTCATTATTACTTCCTGTGATTTCTTGGTAAAACTACGGAAATACATATTTCAAATGAACTCACATATACACAAAACTATATTACACCGCAAAGTCAACGATAGGATGATTCACAAACATTTAGAATTGAGGAAGTTGTTGCACATTTTCTACTTCTATACCATTGAAATTTTTGTCACAGTACATATTTTAGAAAGAAATTGAGCATATCATTCTAATGCTAAAGTTAATAACATAATATATAGCATTTTTTTTAAAATACGTATTGTCATTTCGGTAACTATGACTAAGCGTCATTATGTGAACAGTTGTTTCTTCTAAAGCTGTTAGGGTTTTACGGTTTAACTAACTTCTCAGTGGAGCTGATAATAATTCCATTCTTACAATTAAAACTTATAACATCCATCCACAAGTAATTTTCACAATTTAAATTGTATTACATTATAGCCGAGTTAAAGAAAATCTAACTGATATCTTATGATTTAAAAATTGAAAATAGCTGGTTACAAGTTTATCAGGAAGAATTGTACACCAACCATTAATTCATTTTAACTAAATTTCTCTTCTGTACAACTGCTGAAAAACATCACTTATATAGTAAATCGTTGAATAGCGATAAATTTGGTTAGTTGTGCAGGATAAAATAGTAAGCTGTTGAAAAAAAATACATGACTCATTAGTATTGTACTTTGATTGGGAAATATTTTGTACTATTTCGTGACATTAACCGAACATGTTGCTGAAACTTAGAGAACTATCACAACCATAATCAAAAAGGTACAAGTATTTATAGACAATTTTCTACGCAAGATAATCAACATCCGTTGACCGGATACCATCAGCAGCAGCCTACTGTGGAATAGAAAAAGCTAACTTCCAGCTGAATAGGAAATTAGGAACATACGTTACGGAAATCATCAAACTGCATCACGAAACAATCGCTAATTTGGAATCCATAAGGGAAACGGAAGAGATGAAGACCAAAAACTCATTGAGTCGGGAATTGGAAGCACCTGGAAAGAATTACCCAGAACAAAGTTCGACGGAGAATGCTGATAGGTGGTCTAAGTAAGTAATTTAGTATACTGATTTGTATCATCAGTGTTATTAAAATATCAGACAAGTCCTCTTAATATGTAACATATCAGCCTCACTTTTTTACTTTATAATTAATAAGATCTAATTCAGAAATAGACGAATACATAATGGATATTTATCTGACCAACTGGATAACGAATTACTTGCTAATAAACAAAATAGAGGGTAATCAAGAATGCGTAATCAGAATAATTCATTACATGGTAATTTTTCAAATGTATATGGTCTATAGGAAACGTATAATGAAAGACAAAATATCAAGTAATTTGTCAAAGTCAAGCGCGAACACTTTTATGTAGGGATTTCCCAACTTTGAAGGGAAACTCAGTCTTTTAACCTACGTAGGAACGATTTGATATAACCTTTAATCACTCCAGGTAGTCTTCAAGCCACGGCCTAGGGTGATGTGACAATCTCCTACTCATCCCACATTATATTAACGTTTTTCGCTCATTTATTTGGATTCTCAGTTAGTCGACTTTTGTTAGTTTTGTATATAGACGCTTTGATAAATATGTGACCAGAGTGTCCGAAATGTATAACCCAAACACAACGCATTTTTCAGATCAATTTTGTCTTTTCATTTCTCTATCAAAATTTATGTAAGGGACTATTTGATGAATGTTTATCAGCTTTATCATCATCAATTTGATTCCTTTACTAATTATTCGACATTTTACTATGTGCAGATAAACCATATAATTTATCCTAATACCATGATGTTACGCGCCTACCTACAGTAGTTGTGTATTTCATTTACTGTTATACTCAAATAAAATATAACGTTACAAAAAACCAAACAAGATAAGTCAACTGAAGATGAATATGTTGCCTATTGATTTTAGGCTGTTATTTAAATGTCCTTTTTTGTCCTGAACCTGGAGCTCAATGAATAGCATAGTTTCCTCATATAATCAGTCTTAATTAATTCACTTTCTCTTTGCATTGACCATTGGATGAAAGACCAATTTATATAACTGGACTCTATATATCACTGAGCCACAGAATGTCATGAGGTAAATCCTAACCTGTGTACAATATACTGTAGGTTTAAAAAACCACTTTTATGAACAGATTCACTCTGAAATGAATATTAATTAAATTCCCATACTTATAACGTTAGTGAATTTAATACTAAATAAATAAATAAATAACACATAAATAATACTCAATAAATTAATAGTTAACAACCAATCGAGTAATGGATTCTTCGAAAGTACCAAGAGGATAATCATATTGATAGAATTTCTATCCTATAATAAGATTAACTGCTTAATGATTCATTTTGTTTTATGTTTAAAATGCCTGAATAAATTCTTCTAAATAAATAAATCACTATCTAGGCTAAATATTTATTAAATTCACATGGTCAACATATGAATACAAAGATAAATAGACAATAGATATGTACACCTAAAGAGATAAAAACACAAATGAACAAACTGTTGAAAAGTAAAATAAAACTAGAGAGAGAGAGAAGAGACAAGAACAACAACAAAATGAACGAACCGTTTAGTCTTAAGTCAAGTTCATTATTTAGTTATTTCTTCTTATGTATAGTAAATAAATGTGTACAAAAAATTTAGACTTCATGTCAAAATTGTCAAATCTCAGATAGAAAAATGAAGTATACGACTGTCCAATTACAGGTACATGAAGTTATATCTATAATTAGCATCAAAGATATTGGTATTTCCACGTTAGCAGTTTAAATAGAGAGTAGAAAAGATACAAAGACGTCTAGTGTGAGGAAAAGACTTAGAATGAAGTTAATTCACTAATACAATCAACAAACAAAACAAATGCAATACAAACACTGCATAACAATATACTATAGCATTCATATTATTAACACAGTCGTAAATGTAACAATATTAGTAATAGTATCATGAATGATGCATAGTAAAAACAATAATCATTTGAATATTAAGAATTCAGTTTACAATCAACGGAAAAAGCACAGAGTAGTTTTACTATATGATAAAGATGTGCAGCATAGGTAGATGTTTTTAATAGTATTGAGTTATCTAAGCAAGACAGAGCTTTTATTGTCATCTTAGGCAATATCTTCAGCGCCCACTAAGTACATGTAGTTCAAAAACACAACATCATATACATAACTATCAAAAAAGAAATATAGAAATAGACGATGATATCAAATTAGTCAATAGTATATAAGAATAAATAAATAATAGTGGAAATGATAATATCATATCCTAACGTTAAAAACAGATTGTACAATACAAATATTGAGATCTGAAATACTAATAATGAGTGCAAAATTTTCGAAATACATAATCCATCAGTATACATAACAGATATGAGTTGCATAATGTTTGAGTAAATCATGAAAAAAAAAACAATTGAAAATAGATGAATAAATATAAATGGGGAGAGGTGATTCGTAAATAATGAAGTGATGAATTAATCAATTAATGAAACACAAAATTCTAAGTGAATACAGATGAACAACTTTGAGTATACATGGGATCATATCACTTTCAATGCATCATAAGTAATCATGTCCGAATAGTTCTACAATGTGCACCAACGCTATTATTATTATTAGTCACAGTACCGGTGGTAGTAGTAGTAGTACTGGAACTAGTCGCTTTACTTAGATCATGACTGGACACCAGAACAGTTGTTGGCATCATCTGTGATGATGATTTGTTAATTTCATTTTTATTAACATTTGATTCAGTAAAACAATGATTACAGGTTGGTGTTGATAGCATAGAAGGTTCATGAAAATTTGCACTATTAGAGATAACTGGATTACATACAACAAGTGAATTCGTTGACCGCTGTTGTTGTGGAAGTTCACCATATCTACAGAATAACGATGATAACTGCATTGAATTATTATTAGATGAAATATTTTCAGGTATAACATATTGAAACGATTTTGACAAATCATCAGCATTACTATCATTTTTATTATTATTACTCGGATGACTTGAATAATGTTCCGATTTTTTTATAATTCCATTCTTAGAATTAGTAGATGAAGAGGATGTTGAAGAACAACAGGATGTATTGCATGAGAGTAGAACAGATTTCGAAATAGACTGAGCTATTTGTTGTCGTCGTTGTTCTGCCGGAGAAAAGTATGGTGGCAATGTATTTTGGTTATTCCGATGCATTACTATACTCATGTGTACGTTGGAACAATTAGATGAATCGCTGCCGGATGTAAGTCCATTACTAAAAGATAATTAAAGTGAGAATTTTTTGTGACAATAATTCTTAAACAAAAAATGACACTTTATAGTGTATATGAAGTTATTATTCAGTACGAAATGTCAAAATGTAAATATATTAACGCTTAGTGATTACTACAACGTTCTGTACAGCTACAGACCAAATTAAAATTTAAGAAGCATTAAACAGCCCTTTCGTTGTAACCTAAGACTATTCCTCGACAGTGTGTTCCACAAATTTCCTACGCATTTAGAAGTATAATAAACTTACGTCACTGACCATTAATGAGATGAAATCGAATAAATTGTTATTAGGAAATGTGTATAGAATTGCTAAGGCGATCATAGGATCACTCAATTTTTGTTAACAATCCTAAAATCTTACAAGCAACGGTAAGTGTGAATGCTATTTTTCAAATTGAAACTTTCATATGATCTTTGTCGTCAATTGGTTGCTAATTTTCCGTATAAGTGAAGGTCACGGATTGTTCGGTGTGTATTCACAACTAGTCAAAAAATGAACTTACATTCATTTCAGAACATAAGAGAAAAAGGTAGGAAGGGTTGAAATCATGGAATCATCAAATTTACTTAACCATTAGGCACTTTGAAAAATGTAGCTTCCACAATCAATTATTAGTCGGTTATCCTAAGTTAAATCATTCTCAAATATCAGTTTCCACTGTATCCTTTGAAGTGTTATGTTATTATTTTTATAATCCTTAACACTGAATTATCGAACACAACCATCAAACTGAATTAGATATAAATATTTACTTGAAAAAGTGCTATCTTTTGCTTAGAATCAAACTAATATAGATAAGAAAAAAACACTACATCATAAACATATGCTCTTAAATGAACTATCAAATCAAGAGATGATCAATCCTGATGAATTTATTGGTAGAAAAAGAATAATAAAGCTTAGGAAAATTAGACTTCAATTACAAAGAGACAATTATAACTCGCCTGTATGAAAGTATGCGGACAATAAGAAATGAGGAAAAATTATTTAGAAATGTTACAAAATTGAACGAGGGTATTACTAATGTTTTACGAGGATGGTTACCAAATTTGTGTAGTTGATGAACATAAAATATAATAAAAAATATTAAGTGCCCAAACCATATATAAATATGGCACTTATTTACTGTTATTAATGACAACAACCAACTCATTATTACCAATATTGTTAGTAGTAGTAGTAGCAGTAGTATCCTTATCGCCTAACTTATAAAAATTATTCCTAACGTAGTAAAAATGAATCACTATGAAAAGACGTATGTAAACTTACACAGTATGTATATCATCAGGTCGTCTACATGCAGGATATTTAGCACTTCCGCTCCCTATAGCAGTACTCCCCAAACCACTTGTAGCAGATAAACCACTACTACTTTCACCATTTCCACTATTATCGGTGAATAATTGACAACTTTTACCGCGTACAGGTGAATCAAATTGTCCAGGGTTAATAATTACTGAAGTATTTGGGAAAGCATTACCTAATGGACTGAGACTATGTTCTGCACTAACCATACACATTGTATCATGAAATTCTGTTATATTTTGATCAGTTGGAGAGAGATATTGTTTTATATAACATGGTGGAGACAATTCAATGCAATTATTCGCCTGACTATTAACAAAACAAGAACCGACTTTATGAAAGCCAATGTTTGAATTTGGTATTGTACATGAAATGTAACGAGTTTCAGCATAAGCTCCTGACAGAGGAGAGTAACAATTTGACAGGTAGGCTGAAAAATATAAGAATAAATTCAAATAAAATTAAACAAAACTGCACAACTACTGTGAGGTTACCAAAAGAAAGTGTTAGATTTTTCTTATATAGATAATATTTTACATCATCCGTGATCAGGTAATCGTATCAACTCCTGGATGAAATACCAAATCAATATTTAACAATTATATTCAAGTAATTATATATATATAGATATATAACCTGATCACGGATGATATAAAATATTATCCAAAATGGTCAATATACTTTAATTATCAAGTAAGAACTTACGCATAGTAATTTTTAGTCACATTTCATGACATCTTAGTGACATAACACAGATATTGAATCTAACTTCAATAAAAACAAATTTTAAACCATAAATCTGTGAGTTACAATTTATCTGATTTCATTTTTCACTGAAATTACTATCTCAACAGTCAAAAATATAAACTAATAAATGAAATAATGTTTAATTATCAATGTGAAAGTTAGGTTACAATGAACAGTTCATTAAATTGATGGAATATATTTTGATTTTACCAAACCCAGACAGAGAAACGACAGTGTAGAATTTTAGACTATATCATAATTTTAAAAAAATCTGAATAAACCAATTGTAAAAATTAGAAAAAACTGTTGAAAATTGAAATGTATAGAAAATATGAAAACCGGTAGATAGGCAGGCAGGTAGGTAGGTAGGTAGGTAGGTGGGTAGATAGACATAAATAGCCATAAACAACAAACACACCAATGCCAAAAAAAACCCAAACCAAAAACAAGTAGGAAAAATGTGAACAAAGATGAATTCTCCAGATATAAAAAATGTTTCATTAAAAAAATTCACCTACGTGTTTTCGCTTCTCAAGTTAAATATTGAGAAGCTAAAACTAAAAAAAAAGAAAAAAACGAATAATCAATTGTTTGTCTGCACATCTATCAACTGGGGTTACTAATAATTCCTAAAAATTCACTACGATGAAAAACAACTAGTGGAGGAGAATATTCAAGATATAATTTTATCTTTTGTATGTGAAACAAATAAGGTAGGGTATGACTCATCTCTATTAAACACATGCACATATACATTTTTTAACAGTTGAATTCATGATTCGATCAAAGTTGGACCACCATTGAAAGCCTGGAAGCACTAGACAGTTGTTTCGTCCTAATATGGGACTCCATAGCAGTGTGCATCCACGATCCTACACGCACGAATAGAACTCAGAACGTTTGGTCTCGTGAGCGAACGCTTAACTACTAGACCACTGAGACGGCATCCAACAAATATGTAAGTTCATCATGAATTCTTAACTTGGGTCGTAAAGATTGTGTAGACTTACTGACTTTAAGCATTCATAAGGAATACCTCAAAATGGTAGTGTGACAATCTTGATGTCATTTTCTTCCAAAATTCTTTATAAAAGTCAGAAAAATCCCCCGAACTGAAATAAGTCTCACATAGTTGTGTTCCTTTATATTTTTGATTGTGCTCTTCTTTCTTCATTTTTTTTCAAAATATCACTTTATGTATATGGAGCATACATTTTTACACTTAATAGTAAAATGACTTATGTATTAAGTCTATATACATTAATGATAACATATATAAGTACATTTAGTGTATTTACAAGGTGGTCATTATTTAAAAACAAAAATCCTTTGTCAACTAACAATATCTAAATAATGAACTATAATTTCACTGAAATCATGAACCGATCTGTTAGAAAACGATTGAAAACCTAGAAGGACCGGATGGCCGTCCCGTCCTAGCATGAGACTCCTTGACAGTGAACATCCACGATCCCCCAGATGATAATCGGATTCAGAACCTTCGGTGTCGCGTGTAAACACTTGACATTTAGACCAGTGTGTCGGCATCCGATAGTGTTGATGACTAACTTCATTCAATTCATGACATTGAGCGACTATCTCCCGTCTAGTGCTTCCAAGTTTTCAATGGTGGTTTAACTTAGACCGCTTCATGATTTCAACGAAATTCAACAGTCTCCATAACCCCACAATTATTGTTTGCTCATTAGTGTGGCTAGTTTCGAGAGGAAATTTCTGGAGTCTTGTAGTAAGCCGTGGACAGTGAAGCTACACCTTGTCGGGTGTGAAGCAGTTACCCATCGAAGAGAATGGATGGTCACGCAATGCTGTGAGGATTGGTTGAAGTTAGACATTAACACCGCTGGATGCCGAATCAGTGGTCTAGAAGCCAGATGGTCTCATGTAACACCGAAGGTCATGAGTTCGATTCCCGTCTGTGGGATCGTGAATGCACACTACCAATTCTAGGATGAAAAGGCCGTCCAATGCCTTCAAGTTTTCTATGATTATCTTAGTTCACCTCGGAATCCCAATAAAATTCAACAGTCTCCACAATCACGTACTGAAAATGTGGTATAAAATTATATTGCTAGAGGGAACTTGAAAATGTATCAATACATCATGATGTTGCTGCTAGCTAACTGAATTAACTTAATTCTCCGGTGAATTATTATTTTTAACAACTAACTTTTAAAAAAAGAAAAAGAAACTCTGACAAGAGTTGTTCGATGTATTACAATATTCTCTATATCTCTCACTTCTTATCTTTCTCTCTAAAAAATCAATTTGAACAGTTATTTTCATGTTAAGTAAAATCACAATCAAACAGAACACGCATATATTTTAGAAGTAATCAGATATCTAAGGCAATTTCTGAATGTAAATTAGAAAAAACTTGAACAATGTACTCGGTTTACCTTAAGGTATATCTGTCCAAATTATTCTTTGATTATAGTAATCATTTTACATGTTTCTTTAGAAACCGTAATTATTCACATTCTCCATGTAGAAAAGGAAACAAATTAAAAAAGACTGTCCGATAAGCAAGTCATGTTTTAATTCGAAAATCCCCATAGAATATACCATGTGTATATGCCAATTCAACTTCTCCTGTATATCTAGTTACATAAGCCGCACTCAAAGAGTTTAATCCTCACGTCATCGTAAACATATACCGGGATAAGTAAGAAAACGAATAGCGAAATCAATCAATTACATCACCCTTCCTCACTTACCAAACAGTCAGTAACAACGTAGAACTTCGTAAGTACATACATCAGTTCGAGCTGCCACACAACATTAACACAGAGATACAATTGTCGATTCAGATCCCACAATAATCGGAAAGATTAGGTTTTGAAGATGTTATTCAAGGAGTATAATCCAATGAAATAAATTTGGGAAGAGAAACTTACCAAACAGTGAATATTATATTAAAATAGATGAAGCTTTCTCGGTTTTGTATCAAGTCCCAGATAGTTTACTTAAAGGAGCAAGATTACAACTTATCTACATCGCAAAAGCCAGAAGTTAACTCAAAAAGACTTGACTTATCTATTTAAAAGAGGCATGTTCAACCACTATGCTTATCTTGGTCCATGAATGTATTAGAATATACTTAAACCAAATATTTTAAACCCTTACTCTTTAACTCCCTTTATCCTTATATCTGCTTTGCCTCATTTCATAAAAAGTATCTATACAAAATACGAACAACTAAAGTTAGACACTAATAGGTAACAACAAGAGGGAAAATAATTTAGGAAAACAAAACACGAGGAAACGGTACCTTAAAAATTAAAGATAACTTATTCATGAATTTAAAACATATTTCAGGGTTTAAAATAAGGTCAACAGCATGTCAGACTAAGAGAATATGAGGTCATCAGATGATGATTCATACAAAGGTATAAAATGTGTCTGAACAACAAAACGCATAATAAGTTGCACAAAATATGACAATGATATCTGTCACAATGTATAGTGGTTCAGACAACCAAACATTTAAAATATGGACGATATAAATTAAACAAATAAGTTGTTTATATTATAACCGATACACTACTGATCTACACACTAATCAAAATTTATTGGTCGGTTAAAATTACAGATGAAAAAGCTAAAAAAAAACAAGAGTAGCATCAATATTTACAGCGATAAATAACTTCTCTAATTTTATAGATGCGAAGATAGACAGAACATATTTCCCACGCAAAAGAAAAACACTGAGGAAATCAATGAAAATAGAAAATCATTTAAATAAAGTAGTAGAAGGACATCAATGGAAAAAGAACAAGTGATAACCGAATAGTAGGACATTGAATTCATCCGTCCTGATCAAATCGATTTGAATTATGCCAGATGAAATATTGTATTATTGATTTTTGATATCAAGAGGATCCCAATTGCATTTTTGGCTGATGTTCAGGTTTTGGAGCTACATGATTTAATTGTGAAGCAGCGAGACTGTAACTTATTGACAACCTTAAAGAGACGCTTAAGTGATCTTGAGAAAAAACATCTACTTACTAGGGTCAAAAGAGGGGTATAGTTTAGCGTGAGCAATTATGATTAGAAGTGAGAATTAACGTTACGATTAAGAATTAGAGTTGGAGTTTTCATCACGAACTGACATTAGCTATAAAGCTAAAATACTATTTAGCCATATGGATGAATGAGCTTCTCTCCATGATTCGAGAATTGCTATCTTTAACTTTATTGGTTCGTCCATAAATTATAGTCCCACTTGTGAAGCGTTTGCTATCGTCTATGGACAATATGATCAGCGCCCATTTTATAGGGTAGACATAATTAAACCATTTAGCTCAGCGAACACAACACTGACAAAGGCATCCCATCAAAGCTAAAAAAACTTTCGATTACTTCAAAACCTCAACTAAGAGTGTATCAATCAAAGATGTTATAATTTGTGTTCTTTTCCTTCTTTATTGTTGATTATTAGTTAAGGGAATGCCAATCATGAAAATGTATAAACAAATATACCTTAAAAAATTTAATCGCAATACCGTCTCTTCAATAATTTTTTTTAAATAATCGTAAACAAAGTGAATAAGATAAAACTTAGAACTAATCACTATCATCACACGATGAAGAAAGCTTGCATCTCTCTACTAAGTGATCGATAATGCATGTACGTACAAATGATAAATCTCTAGCACTCAGACGTAATACAAACCAAGAAGCAGAAAAATAAATAGTGAAGACTCAGTTGGTTCATTCTGTCAAACTCCACAACAGGAAAATTAAGAGATGGAAACAATGAAGATAAACAACAAGGGCATGGAAATAATTATACCCAGTGTAATGGATAGAACAAAACCCAAAAGGGTTCAAAATGAATAAAGGGTGTGAAATAATAATAATAATACTATGGTTGAAAATCAAAGATATGAAAAATTGAGTGTCTCTGTGTCACTGCAATCGACTTTTAGTTAAATAATTGGAGTCGCAAACTGTTAACTATGGTTATCTACGTAATCTCAACCGTGGAAGTAAAATATGATGATTGAAATCAAAAGGCAACAACAACGCGATAAAAGATACCTTCAACTATTGAACTCGCTTCACTGTGAAGCATCACTGATTGAAGTTGCTGAGATATATTACGTGGAGAGTACATCATTTATCTTGAGGCAATATGTTGATGGGTTTATATTTGAAAGTTTTATGAATGAATAGATTTATCATAGCGATAATTCACTGGGTCTCTTAATAATATATATATGTTCCGCCTGCATAGCTTCCTGATGAACTGCTATATTGCGAGGTTGGAATATGAGATCTAGTAGTTTAAAATTTAGTGCTTTAACGCCAAAATCACTGATATACGATATAGTGACACTAATTAATTAAAGACCAGATACTACAAACATTAATTAAATATTACTTCTACTCTACATTTATGGAGAAAAATACAATCATAAAAATCGTTCTTGATAACCAGTCATATTATTGTACCAAACAAGAAAGGAGAGCTAGCAACTGATCATACTTAAATGATCCATTTTAAAGACAATTGAATATAATACACTATTAAACAGGAATAATAATAATAATAATAAAACCCACATCTGATGCGAATATACATACATCTGACCTAGAATAGATGGTCGAACACGCACACACACATAGGTGCTAGGAAAATGAAAGAAAACTCTATTAACAATTTTATGACTAAAAAAAGATGAGATTGTAGTATCTAATTCTCTCTTTTTTTACTTAACAAATAAAATATGTACACATACAAGAACAGGTGTTTTATAATTTAGAAATAATAAATACAACCAATTAAAATTATATAGATAGATAGGGTAGGATAGTAGGTAAGTAAGTAAGCAAAGTTCATAATTCTACATAGAAACACATAGAATTACAGACAACAAAAATACACAATTTACACATACACAAAAAGAGAAAATAATAAAAGATAGAAATAAACATGTGTGTTTTCAACGTATCAATAAGCGAGAGAAAAAAAGAAGAAAGAAACATGTGCCAATAATCTATGCAAACAAACACCGATTAGTCATATTCAACAAAGAAAGGAGAATGAATAAGAACCATTTGAAATTATTATTTTTTTTACTATTATTTTAAAAATAATCTAATGATTTACTAAGAATAAACCAATATCATCATTGGTGTTTAACATACAAATCAGTTTCATCTTAAATATATGTGATTTGCAAAGAAATGAAAGCAGCTAAACACTCATTACATGTATAGAAGACAGTATTTTATACTGATCTTTCAAATAAACCCATGATTATAATTTACTAATTGGGTTGTTTATTGAAATTTTAAGGCTATTTTATACAATTTTATTCATTTCTGTTTAAGACACATATATTACACAATTTTTTCTAAGACAAAAATGGTGAGTAGTTTCTGTTGGTTAAATATTAATGAATTACAACGACTGATCAGTGAGTGAATAATAACTAATGTCATGTTGATCTACTTTTTAATGTTGAGAGTATTTCTTTCCAGTCAGGTTGCAATATGGCCGCTAGTTTTGATGCTAGGTTGTTGGGAGTAAACTCTTGACTTACGTTCCATGATAGTTGATGCTCATCCATAAAACACACAATGGTCCGTGTCAGATTTCAGTCAGTATCACCTAAGTTCATAATCTACTCAGTAATACATTTTTGGTTCACGCATTAGATTGTAACACTAGTCATTTGCCTGAGCCATTACAAATAAATTTGGGTAAGTTTATGGATAAAACTTGACTGATTAATCAAGTACGTTTAACCTCGAATATTATTTTGAAATCATATACAGATTTTCATTGAACACATTAGCAAAATAGTAAACGTAAAAGAAACAACCGGAAATCTGAATGATATTGAGAAATTATTACCAGTTGTCATCAATCATGTTAAAAGATATGTATAAATTATATTTATATGGTGTTTGGAAAGCTTATAACTGTCAAGAGAGATTTTATTTTGCTATTATAAAAGGAAAATAGCATAGTGAGATAATAAAAACATAAAACCTTACTCTTCCAGGTTTATGTAGTTAGTAAACAAAATGTACATTAATAAATTCTCATGGATCTTTCTTTTATTTAAAGTCAACTCTAAGATATTCAGTTTTTGGTTATCGAGATCGTTGAATTTCATTGAAATCATAAACCGATCAATCTTAGACCACCATCGAAAACATGGAAGCATTGGACGGTCGTTTCTAGGTTTTTTAATGGTGGTCTAACACTGATCAGTTCATGATTTTAATGAAGCTCTACAATATGATAATTTATTAGTGATTTGATGAACGGTAAGGATTCTGGTGGCGTACAAGTGCAAAAGTTGAACCAGTTTACTGTTCATAAACTTTGTAATTACATTCTATTAATTTTCAGCAAGTTTTTTGACAAATATTGTAACCGTGATCATGTGCAATCTTATATAGGCTTATGAAAAAAACATTTCAGTTTGTACGGCGAAACTTCTGAAATCGTAAAGAGAAAATAACTAAAAAAACTGACTACAAGTCATCAAAAATTCATAAACTCTGTGAAAACTCTATAATTATTTAGGTTTTATTACTTTTCTAGATTACTACGTCATTTGATTTAGACCAGCTATTCATTCATCGACGGAAAGTATCGAACTCTGCCTCAAGGTCACCTTTATCGTTCCTTAGATTTCGAAGCTATAAGACAGTTTGTTCAAACTGGTCAAAACTATGAATTAATTTAAGAATTCGGAAAAAACAATTAGTGGATTACGAATAGCGAAATATAATTAGGTGTACTTGTCAAATATTTTGATAAATACTTAATGTTATGATAATTCAATTAAAACACCATGTCAGGATAGGGTTGTAGAGATTGTTGAATTTCATAGAAATCAAGAACCGACCAAAGTTGAAAAACTGTTAAAACTTAGAACTGAATGGCCATTTCTTCTAGAATGGGTCTCCTCAGCAGTGCAGATCCACAATCCCAACAAGCGGGAATCGAACCCAAGACCTTCGATGTGGTACAGTGCAATTTCACATCATCATACTTTCTGAATAAAAAAGTCGCATTTTCATAGCTTCCTATAAATCCACTGAGATACATACAAAAATACTTTCGAACAGTCAATAGTAGAAGATAATAAACTAAAAACACAAAGCGAAATAATAGAATTTATACTCACTTCCACCACTTGGTAGACTACTATCGTCTGAAACAAAACGTAATTGATGCTCTTTTAATTCAAGTGGTCTATGTAGGTCACCACCTGATTCGGAATTTGGAATCCATAAATTAGGAAGACCGCATAATTTTGTTGAAGCCGACGGTAAAGGCGGTGGTGGATATTCAGGTGGGGGAGGAATAACATTTTCTGGTTTGTGCTCCTCTCGAATTACTGAACCATTGATGTTATGTGGAATAAATTGCCAACTACAAGAAGCAGCATTATGGAAATCATTAGACAATGGTAAATGACTGCCATTTACAGATGCTAGAAATTCTGCAGATTTCAAATTATCGCCTAGATTGAATGAATTCGCAACAAAATTATTTCGATTAGAGTTCTGTAAGAGAGGAATAAACATATAAGAGAAAGTAAATAATCATCAAACCAGGTAAATTATAAACATTATATTATGAGGAGAAATATTTGTTAGTTAAAAATGTTTATCTATTTTGATTTTGAAAATTACGAACATATATTGAACTATGGACTGATGAATGTTAACTACTGCCAATTGAATACATTTGAATTTACCTATTGAACGGATATTTAAGAAGATATACATTTTATTGTGCACTTTAATATCGACTAAATCATTGGTTGCTACATGAGTAGATCTTTATCTACGGTCCTGTATGTTTCTTCCCATAAATGTTGTTCAGTTAAACAAATAGAAAATGATAATATACTTCACAGTCATAACAAACACCCATACCATCAGTAATATCAACATTTTGTCCAATACATTACATATATTATTAAACTACTGCCGACTTACGTGAATTACCCCATTGATAAAATGTTTAGTTTTCACCGGTTAGACTCTATAGTCATTTTCGATAAATACGAAATGATTTAATAATCTACACAGTCGATTAAACCAACCTATTTTTTAAAAATTTAGTTTGGGAAACATTGTAGGACATTAAACAACAAATATTACTGGTTAAGATAATCTAAAATAAATGAAAATTGACTTAACACTTGGTGTAGTTTGCCTACAATCTTAGCATTTTGGTGTTTACACTTTATGAGCCTATTCTACTTACTATAATTCTCGAATAATAAAATTCAATATATTTATGAACTAACTTCACTGGTTTTTAAATTTACACATTAGCAAAGACTGCATACTATATTACAAAAAAGGAGAATATTATAAATTGAATACTTCTGATTCATCAACATTAAATGAACAATAGACAAAAAAGATTGGACTAGTATTAGTTTAGCCACTAACTAATTAATCGAATTTTCCGAGGAAAACCAAACATTTATTGTGATTTTTCCCTAAACAAATGTTCGGAAATCGTTCTAACAATTAAATCAAGAAGTTCAACCTGAAATAAGAATGAAGTATGTACCTTTTTTATGAACGGACATGAGTTCTAAAGTTTTAAACAATCTATGGTGAAAATTCACGGTTCATTCACATTTAAATATTCAACTAAATGTCCCATCAACATGCCAAATATTATTTAAGACATGTTCCCAACATAAAAATAGATCCCCGATAAAACTACGTCAATCAGAAGTAGGACATGAAATTGAATGCGACAGAATCAAATTCGCTGGAAAAAGTTTTGGTTTTTATAAGGAAAAACTGACAGCTGAAACCCTAAAGATATGGCCGAACCCAAACAATCCAAGTAGAGGAAACGGGGTGCAATTAGATACAACGTGGAAACTAATGATTAACAAGTGAATGTAAATAAAACCTACTCCTATACCACTGAACATAGCACGTCGAGGCAGTCGGTCGTTGGGCATACGTAACACGTGTCCCAGTCATCTCAACTGATGAAGTTTCACTACTTCATCAATGGATTTGCCATCCTTACCTAGTACCCGTTTTCTAACAACTGTGTTACTTACTCGGTGATCCCAGGAAATACGAGCAATGTTTCGAAGACACCTATGATCACATACTAGTAACCTAGAAATATCCTCTACTCTTACCGGCCATGTTACACACCCATAGAGTAGGACGGAACGAACCCTACGAACCCCTCACCTACATCATAAATGACGCAAGTCGGCAAAAGCTAGTCGAGCCTTCTGTATTCGTGCTGAGATTTCGTCACACACCAGGCCACAAGGGCTGATGAGACTTCCAAGATAAGCGAAGTGGTCGACATGCTCAACCACTTCACTCCCTATCATTAGTTCAGATGTCGGCGCAACCCAGTCCTGAAGCAACATTTTGCATTTCGAGGGGGAGAATCGCATCCCGAACATGCTTGCATAGTTGCTTATAGTGGTCAAAATACTGCATTTTGTCAGCGTCTTCACAAAATAGAACTATGTCATCGGCATATTCTAAGTCAACAAGTGGATCTCCCGGTAAAATTCCAACTCTTGGAAATTTGGATGAGGAAAGTGTTATCACTAAAAGCACGTCAACAACCGAGTTAAACAAGAATAGAGAGAGTGAACAGCCCTGACCAACACCACTTGAGGTAATCAACTCTGATGACAGTTCGCCATAAGCCCTCACACTGCCAGTTGTGTTCGAGTAGAGAGTCTTTACAAGGTAATGTACTTCTTTGGTACTCTTTTCAGTGACAAACACTGCCATAGAACCTCACGATCAACATAGCCAAACGACTTTTATTCACCTGGTGATAGCTGTTTTCATTTCATAGTGTATTATAAACCGAAAATTCTTATAATTTATTCATCATGAAAAAAAAGCAAAGACAAAAAAACCGAATTATTACATACCTCTTATAATTATGGTTCTTCCTTATTACCGCGCCGAATATTCTGTGTCGTAACGATACAGAATTATATGCATCTAGAATTATTTTAAGTATTAGCTATAAAGTCTGGTTTTTATTGTATTTCACCAATGATTAACTTATCAGCCTAACCAAATAATGGCACTGAAACAAGGGCAACAAAAAGAGCATGTGAAACAAACCTATTTCCGGGCGTTTTACTAATTGAATATGAATCATACAGGAATAAGTAGATTTGTTCAATTATTCATTGTTGTTACTGTATAATAAGCCCACCCAAGGCATAGTATCAACAATATAAAAAGTTAAACTACATACAAGAATATGGAGTAAGTCAAGAAACAGATAAGAATGCCACAAGCACATACTATTAGTTACAAATCAATAGAGGAAAAACATCAGAGGTTAGCTACTTGCGTACAGTTTATATATTTCCTCTGTCAGAATAAGATAACGATGAGATAGGATTAAGAAAAACTGTGGTAACCTAACCAACCAAGGAAATGAGATGAGTCGTCTTTTAGATATGACTCACCAACTAGATGTGCATGCATCGTACACTTCCGGGACCTATAATGACCCTGGAATTCAACGTCTAACGCTCGTAACCAGTGCTATCGATCAGACTAATGAGTTAATGACAGGCGCTTCTGGTACACCAAAAACCAGTTGTTTCTAAAGCATCCAATCTCTAGTAATCAAGCCACAGGACTGAATTAATTAGCTGATAATGTTTCCTAGACTTTCTTGGAATCACGGTATAATCCAGAAATAAGAAAACCAATTATTCTGGCGTCTATATTCCAAAAGTTGTTTTATGAAGTTCTATTGAAACCATGGAACATAAAAAGATTATTTGGATGGCTTTTATGAACATATTAGTTCTTGAGTCATTCTTAACACAATTTGGACCTCTAGTTTATGGAAAACTACAGAGAAACAATTTTCTCAAGATTCTCAACACCAAGCGGTCAGAATTAAGAGATAAAATGTCGGAAAATTTTGTTTATGATTATTTCCCGTCAATCATGAAGTTAAAAAGCTGATGACTACAGAAACGTCCATGAAAACTAACTTCAAGTATCAAATATTTCTGTGCGAATTAACAGCATCGTGAGAAATGAATCAAAACTCTCAAACTCATTAAAGCATCAAGAAACTGTATCTAAAGTTAATACATTAAGGCATTTGGAACACCTTATTTTTTCTGTCATAATCCTACTAATATTGCCTTGTCACTAAACTTCTGTTTCAATAAACCGGTCTATACCTAGGTGAGTTATTTCATTTTTTCGGGAAAGGGTTTAAAGAACAACCAGTAAAAGTCAAACAATATGGAATGTTGGGATCAACATTAAATGATCTGAAAGAAATTGCCAAACTTTTGGTCTACCTTTTAGTACACCGGAAACCCATAAACTAAGAGAGAAATGTACCATATGAGTTTTGGCTTTACTCTAAAAATCTTTAACTAATTATAATTGAATTGTAGCCTCTAAAAGAAAATAGAAAAAGTCGAAAATAGTTTGGATTATTAAAAAGCTTCATCAGATAGGAAAGGTTTTTCTATAGGTGATTACTCATTTAATACTGCGTTAGATAACTTTAAGTTTTTTGGAAATATCCAAAAGTTACGAAGGTTTGGTTTTTAACTGCCTTTATTTGTAGAATACGCTATTCCATGACAAACACATAAACAAAAAATTTACACTTTAAAGGTAAAAACAAAATAAGGACAGAGAGAATAGGAGATAATATGGAAGTTTATAAAAACGTCTTGAATATAAATCAGTCTATTTTCTACATCCCACTCATATCAACTCGATAGTTTCCAAAAAAGTCATAACACCTGAAGTGATGAAAATGTGTAAAATTTTACTTTTAAGGTCAGTAAATTAATTAATTTTAACACTGGGAAACTATACCAAATGTGTAGATAGATAGACAGAAATAGATATATCACATTGAAGGCGTTTTTGGAAGGAAACAATGTACACGTTAAGTTGACTGGTTCGTTTACATGACAACCTTAATTACTATAAGAATTATATAACGAGCTAACGACCTCATTTTTTCAATAAATCAGCAAGCAACATTGGTTTTTGATTTTTAAGAAATCATTGAAATAGAGGATGGACATTTTGTCCTTTCCGATTTTTTCATTAAGGCATACAACTAACGCACTACACTATGAACTCTAAGGCATTGTTTGCTAAACTAGTCACAACAATCTTATTGTTAAAAGGGTTATTAATTTCCACTAAGTTTTACGTTTTGATTAAATAATTATTGAAAAAAAACATACAGTAACCACTAGGACACAGTGCTGTATATGCTGTGATTCAAAAAATGCTATACTTTTGAGATATCTACATTTTAACAAAATAGAAGTTTATGGTTACCACTACCAGAGGTGAATTTGTAGCTTGCTAGTTAAAGTGCTCGACTTTCAGACACTGGGTGACAGATTCGAGTTCAATTGCACATACTTTATTTTAGGTAGTAAAGTAATACCATTAGCGCTAATACAAAGTGTAACTGAGAACGTAATAGATTATTTATCTCTAGCAACTAAGACTTTAAGAGGATTATGAGAGCTTAGGAAAATCATTCAGCTTGTGTATTGTAAGGTAACATCCTTGAACAAGCTACACACTTAGATGATAAAATATACCGAGAAAATAGTGTACAATACCTTATTTTACACTGACTAATTTGTAAACAGTATCCAATAACCATAAAACTTTATAGTGATAAACATACGTAAAAACGAGTATGTTCTTGTATAAAGTGATTTGGACGACTAGCATTTTAATTTCAATAATCAGTTTTATGTGAAAGTGGTAATAGGAATAAATATGCGCATATATATTTTTATATGCGCAATGAGAGAAACCTGACTAAGCCATTTTAATCAATACGGTACCCAGTTTATATTTACTATAGCAAAACAACCATTATTTGTGTAAATAAGAACTCTACATATTTCCCCTAAAAAGAAAACTGGAAATCGCAGTGACGAAAATGTAATCAAAAATTATGGAGATTCAGTATTCACGCAGTAATCACGGACATGAAACTCAAAATACTTCCTTAAGACTTTATCCCAATGGTACATAACTCCAAGTTGTTAGATTACTAGCTCAAGTCTTATTTTAGTTTTTCATGGACTGCTAACCCCAACACAATAGCTGACGTTACATAAGAGAGATGATTTTGCTACTTCAAGATGTAGGTAAAAATCTAAACCTAAATTAATACAACCTCATTTATTTGGTATCTAATAATAATTGGCAGGCCAAGATACAACTCCAGTAATACCTCAATAATAATGAGAAATTGAATAGGCCAACTCACTTTTTAAACTAACCACTGATACAAACAACCTTAGTAATGTATGATCAGAATGCACAGGAACAAAAGGGCTAAATCTAAGGATTTCATGCTGATCAAAAAGTACTCAGGCTAAAGATCCTATATTTACTGGTAAATATATGCTGAGAAATGGATAGAATATAAGTACACTAATGGCATTTCACGTTCCCTTTGTTGATTTGCATATAATTGTGCTAAATATCACAAAAATAACAAAATTATGACATTTTGATTTCATGTTCGGATTGGATTTGCATCAAAGCTAGTAATTTTTTACATATAATGTTCACTAAAGTTTATTTGTAAATGAAAATCCAACGTCTATAAGGAAGAAAATCTAATCCGATGATTACCAAGTGATATGATCCAAAAAAAACACGTAATTTTAGTTATCAAAAAATAATCCAAGTTACTTGCCCAATGAAAAATAATACTGATTTATTTAAATCCTAGTATAGAGAGTTGGAACGGAATTAAACAACCTCCAGTTTAAATTATTAGATCACATTATTATAAACTATAAGATGTATAAGCACATATCACGAAGAGAATTAGTATGTAAATCGCAAAGCCACAAAAAACTTAACTTCGATAAAATACTTTGAAATGAAAGTAAAAAATGAACTTCGACAACATAATAATTAATTTTATCGGATTCCGAATAGGGGGATAATCATACTGGACTGTAAAATCGAAGCGGCCCATGAAAACATTTGCTCGAATATATCACTTTATATGAATCCGTCAAAAAATAGTTCATTATTCACTTGAATTCGTATTCATCCATAAATTTCATCGGTCGAGAACTTCTTTAAACTAGATCTAAAATAACCTAGGTATGGGGTTTTGTCTCTTAAAATATCCGCTCGCTCTCTTCAGACAAGTGCCTTTTGGAGTGGTAGCTTATGGGCTAGCGTTTTCAGCTCTTAACCAATAGGCTGCACATTTAAACTCTGCTCTACTTATTTCAGTTTAGGCACCTGATTAGTACAGCTGGCTTTCATACAAACAGCATAGCTGGAAGCTAAATATGTAAACCCATAATTTGCATTAAAATATTTTGACGCTTATTCAGACAAATACATAAGAAATAAACGAAAAAATAAACTTCGATCTGCTAAAATAGAAACGCGAAATTTCTATAGAACTCACTTTTAATTTCGTGCACAAGTTACTATTGTTGCGCATCGGTACAACACTTGGTGTTCCACTGTGTTGATTACAATGATCGATGACTTCCGTTTTGTGAATATTAAATACTGAACAACTTGCATACGCGGGTACAGTATCCTCTGAAGTGAACTTCTGTGGATTAATAGATTCGTCTAATTGGTTTGACGCATAACGATCTGGCAGCGACAGTAAATGTAAAGAGTTGCTTTGGTATGCAAGTTTCGGTGTACATAAATTTGAGTGACAAATCGGAGGTACTGGGAATGGTATATTTATTGAATCTGGCAATTTCGGTCTGCTAATTGGGTTACTTTGATTCGACATATTTTCTTCAGTTAATCCGTTTTGGCTTAAGATAGTTGCATTGCTACCGGATGTTGTAGTCATCTTCAATAAACCTGAAGGCAAGTAACTAAGGTTATTAGAACACACAGAAGGATCACTGATAGCATACACCTCAACGTCTTCATTGCCGGTTAAGTACTCAAACAGCGGTGATGCTGCATGTGTACATCCTGTAGAAGTTGCTTCGTTTTTGCCAGAGGCAGAACGTAAAGTCATTAATTTGTGTTCAGAAACAGGTTTGTCACTATGTAACTTAGATTGAGATGGGTTCAAATGATGGAGTAGATGTCCCGTTTCCACCTCTTGTTGCTCACTACTCAGTAAGACGGTGCCCAAGTTTCTATCAACAATGGAGTGACTTTCTGACTTGTTTTTTTGGAAAGTTAACGAGGTACAGCACATTCCGAAACTTATTCCATGTAGAATATTTCTCCGAGAGGTTTTCTGATGCTGCGCATCTATGTTAGAACCATTAGCAACGAAATACTTGGCTGAAGATTTTAAACACTGCTTTCTTGAAGTTTGACGGACGACAAAGTGAATAAATAAGCCAAACAAAATCCAGAAGACGACAAACCCAAAAAGTAGAATATAACCCCACACAGGGAAATCAAAATGTTCTAAATAATTTAATTCATAATCAGAAGACTTAATAGGATTATGCAACCCAGCGGCAATAGATCGAAGATGATATCCAGAACTACGTACTCCCTCTCCTTTGCAGTTTATCCCAGAAATATAAATGATATAATCGACGAACGGATTTAGGCCATGAATATTTTTTGAATGGATGTCTGCAGATACCTGAAAATCACAGAAGAACCACTTTCAACAACGAAGTTTTTTATTTATTTACCAAGATCATCGTCTAGAAGATATTATACTGAATAAAACCACTGATAATTGAATATCTATATTCCATAATTTTATATTCAACGCTACAGAAATTAAATAAGTAAAATCTAGTGCTATGTTACTTCATTCGAAGATGGAAAACAATTTTTTGCGGTCCCGGACTAAGCCACTTTGATAAGTAGTCCTTCACAAACCCAATCTCTGGTTAGTTAAGGAATACGAAATATAATCCTTCGGTCATGAAATTAAAACAGCACTGTTTACCCGAATTCGGGCTACTAATTAATATAATTGGCTATAACACAACAGATGTGGATATTACATTGACACGTGCACGGTTATTGATAGGAATTCGACTTAAGTCTACCTGCGAAACTATACGGACACAGTGAGGTTACGTTAGCTTGCCTAAAATAAGTCGATATCTGGGAAATAAAAAGAAAGTATAAAAACAAGCCTGTCAGGTACTGAATATTATGGAATCAATTGGAAAACACTATAGGACAGTGTATGAGGATTTTTCGCCTAAGTTGATATTGATTTCAGTAATTAACAGATAAGTCTCAGTAAGACAATATTACAAAGCAAATTAATAAGGCATTATCTCAGTTCAATCTAATTACTGTGATCCATTCTGGTACTTTCATCTCATTATTATTGTGAGTCAAAACCTAAAAACATGTTTGTGTACTTTTTCGGGGGATATTTTTGTATAATGTAGTGGCTACTCAAAATGAATTAGTCAGGGCGTTTCCAGCTCGAAATCTAATAGTTTAAAATCAGATGTCTTAATCACTAAGCTACATATGCTGTGATCCCATAGTAGCATTCAAGATTAATAACTACCCTCATCCTGTGAAAATGCAAATGAGACTTACAGTAACTAAAACACAAACAAGAGTTCAGGTCTCAGCATAAGTTACCCACAACATGTATAAAATATTTGTATATTTACTGTAACCAATAAATTGTGCAGTAATATCCAGTTACTATTTTTACTACGGTAAGTTACTTTTATCATGAGTAGTTACAAGTTTTGGAAAAATTCCAAGTGAGAAATGTTTATATTAGACGCAAATTGTTAAATGTGTTAACGAAGATCACATCATAAACCTCAACTTCCCAAGATATCTAATAATTATACTGAACTTCTTTCCACTTAAACTTGCAGAATTTCCGGGATGAAAATAATATGAAAGAAAATTCCGTGGCCAGACTAATTTAGATCCGTAATCTTTATGAATGATGGTACCTGTGATGGAAAGGACTGCAGACTTCCTGGGAAAGGATTGAAGACACTCTTGTGATGTGGTTCCAAAACAGTTAAGATTATGCGAACGAGTATAGAAAAACATATACAAGGTAAAAGTACTCAGAAAACACAAACGGTCCAAGGTGTAACCGTTAAAAGCAAAATTAAAAAATGATAATGAAGATTTGACTAGAAAATTCCTGAACATTGAAATACAAGACTAAGATCGTGCACAAATTTACCAGATAAAAAAGACTTACATGAAGAGAACGACTGAACTGACTTTTGTTCGCCAGGATATGTACTGCATATCCTAACAGTGCACCATGAGCCATTTTTAACTCAAGTGGTTTCCATGATAATCGAATACTTTCAGATGGATATGTGGAAGAGTTGATTTTCTGACCTCCTGTTATTTGTTCGGGATTTAACGGACTAATATGAAGAAGCCATTCGGCGCTTATTAATTCTGGCGAGGAGCTGGGTGGTGCATCGAGAGTCAAAGCCAATTCAGATCGACTAGATCTGCTTAGAATACGACCGTATGTTGGATCGTCCTTGAAGGCTTCAATATCCGTCTCATAGCAACTGAAAGGTGACAGATCACCGATAACAGCCTTAGCAACCGGCTGATCGCGAGATACAGTCTTCATGATGATTATGTTTTGAAATGAGTGATCTGAGGTCCCAACATATATTACATCTTTATCACTCACTGCATTAGCCATTAAAACTGTTTGTTCGAGAAGCTTAGGGGATGTGAAAGAACAGTGAACTGAACTAGTAAATGAAAAATCCTCATGATTAATATCATAAATATCCAACGATTCTGAATCTCCAATGTTTTCGCGAAAGGCAGACGAATAGCTTGGTGGTTTAGATGTAACAGCAGCTATGCAACGTGACATTGGAACTGATCGCACGTTTATTTTGAAACCATCAATACGCTTGAGCACTTCATTAGAAGACCGTGCAGCCCAGCTAACCAAAAGTTCGGAAGACGTGAGGGGTCGGATTGATATGCGATGTAAATCGATGGATTGGAATGTTGAAACCAGCTCCTGAAAATCAACAGCTGTTTGACCACCAGCAAAAAACGAATCAGGATGCTTGATTACCAAATCAGAAACTGTCCTATTACTTTTTGAAACATGTGAAAATATAATTTCAGAAGGCTTTTTTACAGTATACACTATATAAGGTACTAGAGCTCCTGAACTCATTCCGAAACTATTAACTTTTCTAACTTCAACCCAGTATCCGGTATCAGGTAGTAGGCCTGTTATACGGACTTGGGTATGGTAAGTTTTTTCAATTGCGGTGAACCAGGTATCCAGTTTAAAGGGTTTACTACTAGGCATCTGTGTTTCATCTGACTTCATATGATCACTGGTAGTCTTAGTGTGCTTTAGGTCCTGAAAATGTTGATCTGAGTGAACTGTTTTCTGAGAATGAATCTGCGGTAAAACGTAAACTTTATAGCTTGTTGACTCAGAAGAATTGTTGTCAGACCATTTTAAAACTACCCACGTGTCACCAACACTAACAATTCTTGCATTTTCTGGAGGTGAAGGTAACTGGGAATACGTACGAGGTTGATATATTGAATCATTATGCTCTTTTAAGCTTATAGTGAAAGAGTACCGTGCGAACCGATGGCTTACTTTTCGGTAGACGGAACAAGTGTAGTTTCCTGCATCATGTGGTCGAAATGGATGAAGTAGTAAAGAGCCATCTGCCTCGATTGAAATCCGAGAGTTCGATGAACTTGGTTTATGAATGAATTCACCATTGTTAAGCCATATTATGTCCGATTTTGCGCTAAGTTCGGGTTCTTTAGAAATATATTGAGTTCCATGTGAATAATTGAATACAGGATCCAACGGAATGCCACAAAGTACTCGTACTGCTGTTGGACTGCGGAAGCTTTTACCGAAAATATGAGGAGTTGAGACAGCACCCACACGACCTGGAATTAATTTGGGATTAAACAGAACTTGAATATCTGTCAGGCTCCTAGTAAAACCAGCAGGAGACGAAGCGCGGCATTCATACGTAGAAGCATCTTCCGGCCTGGCAGTAAGTATAATAAGAGTCCCAGAACTCGTGACGTAAATCCGCTCGGATACAGATACAGTTGGGATGAAATATGTTTTAGTTGACCACTGCAACCAACGAACATCTGGGGATGGGGAGCCTGTCACACTACAAAACAACTCAACCCGGTTGCCTTCATATGCGTATATTTTACTAGGAGGCGTGACAACCAAACCTGGAGGTGTAACAACATTTATGTAGGCGACTGCTTCAACAATCCCTGTCGAACTAACTGCCCGACAAATATAATATCCAGAGTCATCAGACTGAACACTTACAAAACGAAGTGTTCCACCTAGAAGCAGCCGAACACGTGAGTATGGAATACTGGGGACTGAAGGTTCTCTGCGCCAAACAACGACAGGGGAGGGCTCCCCAGCAGCACGACAACTCAGTTCAAATACACTATGCACTGGCACTGATTGACTTTTAGGTGAGACAATAAAATATGGACGCTGCCGAACAGTAAGATAGGCCTTGGAACTTTCCCTGCGGTAAGCAAAAGATTTGGCTACGCAAGTATAGTAACCAGAGTCTTGCCACGTTATCCTATCGATCCTCAAATTTCCAACATCCATAATCTGTATTCGATTGTTGGGTAACAGAGAAGAGTTTTCCTTTAGCCACTCAATAGTAGGACTAGGTAGCCCAAAAGGAGGAATACATTCCAATAAAACTGTATCACCAATATTTGCCACTTTGCTTTGAGGCTCTAATTTAAACTTTTCGTTAAGGAATGAAATTCGGACACTTGCTTTCTTGGACTGAATCCAGTGAAGGGAATCCGATGCATTGCAGTAATAATCACCCTCATTTTCACCAACAAGAGTAAACCCATAGGAAGAATATACGCTATCTCCAGCCACTTTAGTGGAACCGCTTGCAAAAGAAATATTGTCTAGTTTATGCCATGTAATCGTGATATTTGGAGACCCTACAGCTGAACAAACAAGTGTGATTTGCTGGTTCTCTAGCCCATAACTATCATTTGGTTCATCAACAAATTCTATCTCGTGGCTTGGAATCGAAACAACTATAAGTATAACTAAAATTGATAAAAAACTAGCACCAGTATTCATACCACCTGATATTTGAACTGTGGTGCGCGACTCGATCAGTTGGTTGGAATGGCCGCTGGAGTAGATCCAACGATGAGATGCGTATAAATTATCCACACAATTAGATTCTCAATAATTTCAACTGTCAAATTAAGGGTAATGGTCAAACCAGCCAATAAATCGGTAATTTTAAATCGAAGTTAACTCCTATCTCACAGTACTGTTACCGTATGTTACTGAAAGTCCAACCAAACTGTGCGGTTTTGAAGCCAACCTTACACCGCGACACACTATAACAAAAGCGCCTCTCAATACATTAACAGTCATCTATATAGTTGGAAGCTTACATTAAGCGTCGTCTCTAATATTTACTTAAATTAGATTCCAAAGTTCTGTTGTTAACTATCGATTCTGCCAGATTATACCCACATCAAATTTTCTCATTTTTAGGGCTCAGAGAAAGTTAATTTAATTTCATAATCAAAGAGAAAAAAGATGTTGATATTATATTATTTGAGTGTCTGGGGTATTTTATCACTTTCACTTATACGCTCACTCGATTATATGCTAAAGATACTGAATGTCTTCCTACAAAAAATGTTTTTTCTCTTACTGTCTAAAACTTATTATGAATATGTTCAGTATGTACATTCAAAGACTTCAAGCTAGAAAGGGAAATTTCCGAGTGACGCTGTAAATTCGCTGTTTATATCTGTATAGTGGCAGTAGTCAACGATCTAAGGGTTAGTTTGCTATTTCGACCTTAGAAGCCTTGTATAACAAAGTAAACATGGTATGGAATGAGATAAGTCTTGAAATTAATGGTCTTTATTTGGCTGAACTGCGCTTACTTTTGCTGGCCTTTGTACAAAAGCTCTGGTTACTACTTACATGTTCACTACAAACGAATAAGAAGTAGTGTCAGTGTTACGCGTGAATGAGTATGATTTTCATTACTCAGCTATTTTCTTTGAATTCTCATAAGCAGTCTTGGTCACGTTATATAAGCTGGTCAGTGAACTACTGCCAATTTTTCGATATTTCTGCCGAAATTAAAATTGGGACTTTTGGAGATTCCGTTGAGTCTCAACAACATATCTGGTTATTCACCGTTTCTTTACTGCTTGTATCAGTCAATTGTCTTGTTCTTAATCCCAACAAAAAGTAGGGCGAACATTGATGATTGTAATCGTTTCGTAATTGAAAAACATTGCTCAGTTTCTTGAACGTCTGAGATAACATGTGGTAGGTTGACTTCGTGGTTATCTTGTCTCCAATGATAAGGAACATGAGACAGAGTGTTCGACCTCATAAACATGGGTGGATTGAAACCGATGTCCTCACTACCAATGTTTGCCGCTTAGTAATTTCACCCTACTTCCACTACTAAGGTTAGGCTCTTTTTAAGTGTTGGTTGTAGTAATCTTAATTCAAGATATGTGCTTCCTATTTTTATAGAAAACACAGGCATACGAACGTCGCAGGAGATATTTCAAAAGACGACATCATTTATTAATATTAAACACTCAACGAAGGTTCGTAGTACTTAATTATAGAATACTTTACTGATCAGTTGGATTTATACCGTTAGTCTGTTGCTCCTACCAGTGAAGACTATCTTAGAGGAATGAGTGTTTATTACATTTCCAGATGTATGATCCGATAACCCACAATAACCCGGGGTAGAGTTTGCGACTAAAATGATCACCTGTAGTATTTGTTCTGACTAACGATGCTTTGGTACTTGATTGACCACTGATTTTGAATTTTAAATCTAATACGTTCATTTACAACACCAAATAATTCATTTCAGGTTCAAAAACGATTGTATGTCAGATCAATGGTGCTTCTCACGATTTTATTGTCGACACTGGCAGTATTAAACCCATTATTTTGGTTGCGGAGTTGAAGTCAACAAATCCCGATGCTGTAATTATGCCTACCAAAGTTTCCATCTCGAGTATCGCTGGTCATAAACTTTCTATTGCTGGATGCTGTAATTTGTTAAGCATAGATGATAAATACTCAATTCCTAATTGTGGATTTATCATGACTGATTGTGAAACATTCATCCTGGGCCTAGAAAATTTAAGAATGCTTCACGGTCAGCTTTCCTTATTGACCACTGGAAGTGGTCCTATTGAAATGCTTGACAACCTGTTAACTACGGCATTGAAGTGTGAAAAATTACACATGACTTCAAAGTCCCCTAATTCTTATGTGCAAGCAAGAAATTTCAAAACCTTGAAAACAAATGTCAGTTCTATTACTGCTTTAAAGTTAAAACATCCGGAGAGGTTAGCATACAAAGTTCATCAGTTCAGAATTACTAGTTCCTACTCAAAAGAAGCAAGAATGAAATTGTTCGAACAAAAGAATGTTCGTAAGAGAACTCTTTTTCCACAATCTGTGGACAGTCTGTTGAAACCGGGCGATAAATTTGTGGTTGATATATTAGCAAGTTGCAACAAATGTATGGATTATAAGGAATCAGATGGGTCTGATACAATTTTGATTGCCCATTCTAATGCTAATGAACATATCCTGAATCATACAGAGTATACAATCCGAAATACACACGATGAACCTAAGGAAAAGAATTACAATCAATTTCCGAAATTTGGAATCCCATTTAAGCTATGGTGGACGTGGTATTTGTAATAACTAATGATTCTTTTGTACTTGATTGACCACTAATTTTGAACTCCAGATCTAATACGTTCATTTGTGTTTATCTAGTTCCACTTGCTGTAAAATGCACTATATTGGAAATTTCTAGTTACTACAATAATTCGAATAATTCTGATCATCAGTTAACTATGGGCATGTTAGCAACATTCGCAATGTCGTTTCAGATAAGGCATCTTATATAAGAGCAGTAACAAAAGATTAACTGCTCAATCCACGTGTTGCGAATGTCTAAACTGTGATTACAACTAGTAGATTCCAATAGGCAATTTAACATCCAGTGAATTCGAAGTCACTCAAATTACACTTGTTTCAAACATATCTAAAGGTGACCCGACAATCCGTTACAGCCCATGAATATGCCAGTCGACTTGAGCAAAGAGATGAGATGAGTAATTTTGTCGACTTGCAATCTACACATTACTCCCCGAGGAAACTATGGCATGCGGATTAGTGAGAAAACATCTTGTCCCAAAGAATACGTATGACATCTTCATGGATTAGGTGTTAGACGAGATATCACCTACTACTAAATGCTTACACAATGTGACAGGGCTTTAGTTTCGAGTAAGTGACGAAGTCAGCTCATCAGAGAATCCTAAGTCAGCAGTATCTAATTATAGCAGTTAGATCTTGGGAGTGAATGTTACCATAGCCTATATGGATAGATCGTTCAAGTGCTTGTAGTCAAGTAAACGAATTCCATGAACTTGGAGTATTGATAGGGAATTAGAGCCATTGGTCGTTGCTTTGATCAAAACTTGTTTTATCCATAACTTTGTCGTCAATACAGAATTATCGGGATACAACTACCTGAGAAGTGATTGGAATCGATTCAGGAAAGGGCCCGTGTATACGTAGTTAGTAATATAAACACCCATCTCTTTGTTTGAGTCTCACAACAGTGGAACTAGTGAACTCAATTTTGAAGTTTGTACATTTTTACTCGGTGTCATCTACTGCATCCCAACTTGATTATCTGACAGCACTTTAGAATATATTCAGCTTTGGAGTAAAACCAGCAAATGATTGATGTTAGTAGGTTTTAATGCACTGATACTAGTTGGAAAGAGATGACCACCATAGGAACTGAAAACTCCTTCGATGACGACGGTTTTGGAGGATGCTTAGGCACAGCCTGCATCCAAACTTATACGTCTCGGTCGAAACCAAGGATCTTTGTTAAACTTAGTATTCACCTGTGAGATCGAGGACAATGCCTGTCCAAATGTTCTCCCACCGTCAATAAATAGCGGTCATGCTGTTTTTCACTCATGTTTAGGGCTTGCGATATTATATACGGTCAGAACAGACCCCGACCAAATGTGTGAAATGCAAACATAACAGTTAGAGAGGAATGTACTGCAACAACTAATCAATCAGCTCATCAATGGAAAAAGCATGATCCGTATATAAAGTTACGCTTAGTTTATTCGAGTTATCCTGCATCTACGATCCTGCTTAGTATCACATCTGGTGTACGATTAAGGGCTTATCAGTCTTGATGAATCTGTATGGTTCTTGGTGAGACTGTCTGACACCCCGAGGTGTCTAGTTGGAGTTATCTACAGGAAGTCGAATACTGATGCTGAGTTTGTTAACCGTATGCTGGAAGGATTATCCCCTCTACTTCTTTCTGATACACCTATATCCTGGTTCTAGGAGACTTTAATCTTCCTAAAGTCAACTTCTCTGAACATACATAATTTGAATGTGACAATCCTACTGAAGCTCGGCTCTCCAACCTCATTGAAGATCAGGCATTATTCAGGAGTGTGAACTCAGCAACTAGGTGGAGAAATAGAGGCCGTGACGCCTAAATTGAATATTTACAAACGAAAAATCCCTAACTGACAACCTCTTACGCTTGGCTCTCCTGAAAAAAAGTGATCAACTCGTCAAAGCTCTCGACCTTACCGGCAAAACAGAGCTAAAGTATCCTACCAACAACAGGCACGGCAGTCGAAAACGGTTGAACGCGTCAGCCTTGCACAACAATCTACAGCAGGTGGACTGAAAAGTTCACCTGCACATTGATGTGGACGCTCATTAGGATTTCTTACTGCACATGGTCTTATGTGCTACAGAACTGTCTGTTCCACAAATGGACCCCAAAAGCTTGTAGTGGCACTGAACAATAACCGCACAATCCACAAAGCTGAACACGAGACTACCCAGAAAATAGATATTCAATATTTAACGCGGAAAAATACCTAACGATGGAGAAGGCGCGAAGAATGAATTGAATTGACTGGAGTTGATCGAGTGGCATGGCTCGACCATGCAGACGTGGTCCATCTCAATGTTACTTTATATCTTCTATTCATATTAAATATATTGTTCTTTCTCTAGCCTAACCTTGTTCTACATCATGTATTGGTAATTGATACGATACAGTGAGTTGGTGTAGTCGATGGTGTGACTTCCACGTAAGATCTTATAGATTAGGCAGTTATATCATGACAAATCTACAAATTTAGGAATAAGTCTATTATTAAAGCAGTACTAATATCATAGTAGACCATAATTCTACATTGGTAAGCCCGACTAGAGAAACGCAACCTATT